TCGCCCTGGCGACATCATCAATCTCCTTCTTGAGGCGGCGCTCGATGGAATGCACACGCTGGCGCGCCTCCTCAGTTTGCTTTTCCAGGGGCTTGGGTGGGATCTCCTTGGGTTTCTTAGCTGCAAGCCACACCTTATACTGAGAAGCTGCAATAGAGTCACCGAACTTCTCAGCCAGCGCGAGCAACTGCTTGACATCGTCTTCAGTCGCTGTGTCTGGGACCGTGATGGCTGCTGGCGACAGGTGCGGAGGGCCCCGCTGCCAACTTCCACGAGGCGCAGGAACATCACGCACAGGCACATCGACACGTTCACGCTTGCAGTGCTTACAAAACCACCACTTGGCAATATTTTTTCCACACCCACAATCCTCATAGCTGCACTTCCACATCGCCTGGCGACCGCCTCCGCGATGCTGGGCGTCCTCTCCGTCGACACCTGCGGCGAAGCGAACACGCTTGGCCCACGGCCGCTCCTCCCAAGGCGAGGCCTTCGGCGGCGGCACCATTGCGACTGCTGGAAGTGGCGGGACGTGGCTGGAGGAACCGAGAGCCAGAATGACTCGCTGTCACCCAGCCGTTCTGAAGCGTCAGTGACAGCAAGCACAAAACTTTGTGCCAGAACGGCTTGGGCCAAAATGGCTACGGAGAAGAGGCAGGAGGAGGAGGAGGAGGAGGAGGAGGAGGAGGAGGAGGAGGAGGAGAGGAGGAGGAGGAGGACGGGGGGGAGGAGGAGGAGGAGGAGGAGGAGGAGGAGGAGGAGGAGGAGGAAAAGGAGAAGAAGGGGGGGGAGTGGGAGGGGAGGGGAGGAGGAGGGAGGGGAGGAGAGGTGGAGGAGAAGGTGGAGGAGGAGGAGGAGGGCGGGGCAGTGGGAGGGGGAGGGGGAGAAGGAGGAGGAGAGGAGGAGGAGGGAGGAAGAGGAGGTGGAGGTGGAGGAGGAGGAGGAGAGGAGGAGGAGGACGATGAGGAGGAGAGGGTTGAGTAGGAAGAGGAGGAGGAAGAGGAGGAGGAGGAGGAAGAGGAGGAGAAGGAGGAGCAGGAGGAGGAGGAGGAGAATGAGGAGGAGGGAGGAGGAGGAACAGTGCAAACCCAAGGCGCACAAGTGATGTTGAAATGCGCCGTCTTCCAAATTTTCCCTTCATCAGTCCCTACAGACATGTATTTTCCTTTTTGGAAGTGTTCCGTTGAAAGGCAGCCTTCGGATGATCGTCGACGCCGCGAATCATTGTGACGGTAGCGTCCTACCAAGAAGTGATATAAACGCGTCGATCCTGGGACTTCAACACCGCGATTTCATGTTTGGAAGTGCTTCGTTGAAAGGCAGTCTGCTGATGATCTTCAACGCCGCGAATCATTGTGACCGTAGCGTCCTACCCAGAAGTTGTACCAATGCGCCGTTCTTGGGACTTCAAACACCGTGATTCAAAGATAATGTTGTGTCCTGACAGCGCTACACTGTGGCATTCTGGGACTTCAGCCTTGGGAATCCTTAGAAGCGAGTTGCGAACTTAAGATTCGTGTGAGCGGCGCACAGGCGAGAACCACAGTTTGAAGAGGATACGTCCTTCATCCTTGAAGCTGCTGCAACCTTTTAAAGCGAATGCGCGCGGAATCGCCCTCCATCCTTACACCTGCTGCAAACTTTAAAGACGAATGTGCGCAGCGATAAAGCGAGAACCATATTTTTCAAACGACCCGCCTTCCATCCCTGAAGCTGTTGCAACATTCAAGCTTCAGGATCATAAGTTGTGATGGCGTATCGGGCAAAACGCCCAGTCCGCCCTACGGACACGCCTAGATGTGCGACAGGGGGAGGTCTTCATGAGGAAAGGGGAGGAGAAGCCGGCACCTCGTAGAAATGGCCTTTTCTCCACAGTGACCTTCTGTGCGGGCGCACTGGGGTCCCCAGATGGCAGAACGCGATTTGATACCAGCGGTCTACGCGCAAGGGGTTGGGCCTCCCGCGCCCCCCGAACGTCGCGCACCAATCGTCACCCCTGCCTAGGGTCATTCTTGTGTCTAGCCGCGGAGGAGGAAGAGGAGGAGGAGGAGGCGGAGGAGGAGGAGGAGCAGGAGGAGGAGGAGGGGGAGGACAGGGACAAAGGATAGGGGGGCGAGGATTTTTGTAGCCAGCCCTCCTTCAGCCCATGTGATCAGCGGACCAGGGCGAGTGAAGCCTCTCATAACCTGCGAGGACACATACAGGAGGGTATCCTTGCATTGGAGGATTTGCTGGGAGGGACGCGGGTGGGCTTGCAGAAAGGAGACCCAGCGAACACGAGCTGACGCGCTGCGACGGGAGCTCCCAGCGGACAGCCAAGCCTGGCTCATGCAGCGGGGCGGGCGCCAGGGCCTGGCTCCTGTCGCCGCGTTCGAAGGGCGACGTGCTCGCCAATGCGCCCTTCAACGCTGCCGTGCTCCTCTGGCTGGGGATGATCCACATGCCGGGCCCCTACGCGGTCGGCCTGAGCCTGACGGACGATGGCGACGCCGTGCGGCGACACAATGATGCATGTGACTGCTTGACCACTTGGCTCACGAAGCATGCGCCTGCTGCTGCGCGGGCGGAGCAGAGTTTCCTCGAGCTGGGAAGCGCAGGGCACAGAGAGGGTCGGGTGGACGTCGTGACACACGACGCCACGGGGGCCCGCATCCTCATTGACGTGGTTGTGATGCACGCCGCCGCGGCCGACGAGGGGGCGCTGGCGCGGGTCGCCCAGGTGGACGGGGCCGCGGCGGCCGCAGCTGAGCGGCGCAAGCGCGCACGGTACCCCCAGGCCGTTGGCTTGGTGCCGTTCGCCCTGGAGACCGCGGGGCGCCCTGGCGCCGCGGCTCGCGGCCTGGCGGGCCGCCTGGCGCCGACAGAGCCCGCCCTGCGCACCGAGGCCATCGGTGACCTCTGGCAGTCGTTGGGTGTCCAGGTGCAGCGGGCGAGCGCCCTGCGCGTGCTCGCACTGGCTGGTTACTGATATGTCTTCTCTCCCCGGCCCTTCTCCTCCCCCTCCCTCCCCCCCGCTTTTCTGCCGCGCGAACCAGCAACTTTCATCATGATTAATGCGTTTTTTGCTAGCATCTACAGCATGCCTGGGTCACAGAACAGCGGAGTTGTTCCCCTAAGCACCGGCGGAATTGTTCTCCTAAGCGCTGGAGGAATTGTTCTCCTACAGTGCCTTGCCTACTCCACTTCTCCGAAGCCCGAAGGGAGGTATAGCGCACTAGCTCCTTGACAGATCCCGCTTCTTGCCCTCTCCTTCCCCTCTGCTTCCCTGCTCCTTGCCGCCGACAGGCGCGCGCGCGCGCGCCCAATGGTGTGGTCAGGTGGCTCACACCGCAAAGCCGCGCCCCCGCTTCCTCCGCCTTCCCGTTCCTCCGTGCTCCCTCCTGTCTCTTCCCTCCCCCCTCCCTCCGTTTGATTTGTTTCTTGTGGCGGTGTGTCCTGTCGCCATTGCCCGCGTGGACTGTCGCCCTCCACGTGGGCATTTCGAAATAACCTCCCGGAGTGCCAGGGTTGCTGCTGCTGCTGCTGCGGAGGAGGAGGAGGAGGAAGAGGAAAAGGAGGAGGAGAAGGGGCAGTGCCAGCAACAGTGCCAGCAGCAGGGGATCGCGTTCAACCCCCTAGTGGCGGAGCCCTTTGGAGGATGGGGCACGACTGGTGCCGACACTCTGCGCCGGCTAGCCCGGGCCAGTGATCGGAAACGATGCGAGGAGCTGGGGGTGGGCGCGGCGCGCCTGTTCCAGCGCTCGTCCGTGGCGATCCGCTGGGCGACGGCACGAACAGTCCTGAGGAGGCACGCGGAGCTCCCCTCGGCTGGCAGAGCTGTGGCTGTCGCGCCAGGCTTGCTGGAAGGGTTGGGGGAGGACGACACTTAGCGCGCCCCGCCGTCGCTCCTTTTCCGCCCCTTTGTTCGCCACATTTTCCACCCGCCCGTGTTCGGGCAGCTAGCTTGCATTTTAATATATCTATATGTATGTATGTATGTGTGTATATATATACATACGTATATACATATTTTCGCTTATGCGGATAGCGATCCCTTCTTCTGTCGTCTTCTTTGTTCGTCGTCGTCCGTCGTTCGTCTCTTCCGCTCCTCTCGCCTTTCCTGCTCCTCCTCCGCCGCTGGCGTCTCCTCCCCCCCATCGGGGGGCTATTCCTTGCGGCGGGTTGGTGAACGGCGCGCTCCCTGCTTCCGCTTGCGGAAGTTGGGGCGTGCGGTGATCGCCTCTCGCTGTTTTGCGTGGCTCCCTGCTCGCCCTTGTGCCCCTCGGGGCCTCCCCCGTCGTTGTTGCTTGCTGATGGATCGACGTCCACGCATGCGCCGGTGCTGCTCTCCACGCGCGTGCTCGCCATGCAGACTGGAAGCGGGCCTTGGCCCGAGGTCTCGCGCGATGGGGGTCTTACGTGGTGTCCTTGTGACAGGCGTGGCAGCACGGCCAGGTGCACAATCGTATTTTTGACCAGCGGTCGTGGCCGTCCGGAGATAGTTGTGCTCCGAGGCGCGCGCTATGTGAGAGGTGGTCGCACCTTCTGCTCCCCGCCCAGTGGAGGAGGAGGAGGAGGAGGAGGAGGAGGAGGAGAAGGAGGAAGAGGAGGGGGAGGAGGAGGAGGAGGAGGAGGAGGAAGAGGTGAAGAGGAGGAGGAGGAGGAGGAGGAGGAGGAGGAGGATCGTCTCGTCCGTCACCAAAGGAGTCCCGAAGTTAGACGAGAGCAAGCTTGCCGACGAAGGATGCCGCAAAAAGCTTAGCCAACAATTCGACGAGGTCAAACACCCGCCCTGGGACACCAACCTCAACGAGCACCTCACCATAGTCACCGAGAAGATCACGGAGGCTGCGTACGAGTGCTTCCGCTCCCACGGCCGCACTCCACACAAGCCCTACATCACCAACCGATCCTTCGCACTCCTGCGAGTTCGCCGCTCGTTACTCAAGACGACACGGATCGCCAAGAAAAACGTGATTGCCAGCCTTTTCGGCGACAAGAGGCTACGCTACACGGCCAAGGCTCATAGCGAAGGAAGCTATCCTGCCCGACCCCGCCGACGTGAGTGCCCTGGCCGATCTCAGCGGCTACGCGAAACTTGTGGCGGCCTCCATCATGTTCAGCACTCCCAGCCTAGCGACCTCTGTCGTGGAACCCGACGAAGTCAACACCGTGCACAGCGCCCAGCACTACTTTGACGCCCTCGTTCAATTCCTCAGGACGTCTAAGTCGATCCTACAGAAGTGGATCACGACAGACCGCGACGACTTCCTCGAGAGGACCGCCGACAAGATGGGCACAGCGATCGACGACCACGCCCCCCGTTTAGAGGCCCTGTATGCGAAGCGACTGCTGGCCTTCGGAGGACGAAAGTCCGAGAAGCCGCCGACGCCCATCATCCGCACCAACGACGACGGGAAGCCCCTCGCGACGAAGAGCGAGATCGCCGACCACGCCCTGCCTACGGCAAAGTCGAGCAGGCTACAGCCACGGACGCAAACGGGGTAGCAGCCGACTACAATAAGAGGACCCGCCACGAAGGGCCAGGACCTAAGATCCATAACATAATACTCAAGCACCAGCTCACCAGCCAACTCGCCGCCGCTCAGCGAGGCCGCCGAGGCGGCCCCGACCAGCTCACCGATCGCCGCCAAGGGCGGGTACTCCAATTACTTCCACAAGGGACAGGGGGCCACGGAGCTCCAGAAATCCTACCGCGGCATCCGGCTCAACAACGCCATCGGCAAGATGCACAGCAGCTTCCTCCGCTCCCGCGTGAAGGGCCTGCTGCCCGAGCTCCTAGAAGCAACCCAGTGCGGCGCCAGACCCAAGATGGCCACGGATTTCATCACTCACACCAGCCTCGCCTTCATCAGCGACTGCCAAAGGAGATCAAGATCATGCAGCATCACTTTCCTGGACCCCAGGGAGGCCTTCCACTCCGTCATCAGGGAATTTTGCATGCAATTGCCGACCTCCGCCGACGAGCTTAACGAGCTCATCGAACGAATCGACATTCCCGACTTCATCAGACCAGCGCTAAAGGAACGACTTCAGCAGCCCGCCTACAACAACCAGCACATCGACGACGAGCACCTCTGCCACATGATCGCAGATCACCACGCCACCAACTGGATGACAGCCACGAGTGCAAGGCACTACCAGCTGCCTCGGACCAGCACCCGACTTGGGGTGCCATACTCGGACGTAGCCTTCAACATACACTTCGCCATCATGCTGAGGGCAATCGACCAGGCAGTCCGAGAGGAAGAGGCCCACGGCCAGCAGATAGGCGGACACGAGATAGAGGCCTGCAGCGAGCCTCTCTTTTTCACCGAACCCTCACGAAGGAAGCGCGCTCAGGAACATGTCCTTCGTCGACGACCTCACGGACTACAGCTCGACCGCAAACGCCAGCTTCCTGATCAACGCGACCACTCTGGCAGCTGCCAGGCTCTGCGCGGCGGCGTTCCAGCGCGGCCTGAAGCCACGCCCAGACAAGACCAAGGCCATCCTCATGCGCAACGGCGCGGGGGCCAAGAAGGAGAAACAGCAGATCGCCAAGGGGGCCATCGCATGCCTCGAATTGGACGGACTTTATATCAAGGTGCAGCGAGTAACGCAACAGAAAGCCCTCGGTGCCATCATCTCGGCGGGCGGGGTCATGTGCCAGAAATCTGCCTAAGGGTCAACCGCGCGCTCGGCGCAGCCTGGCGTCTCGAGAGGCAGATCCTCCGCCGCGAGAAGCTCTCGAAGAAGGCCAAGGTGAAGTACGTCCACTCTATTCGACCTCCTCGCTGACATACAACCACCATGTCTGGGGCGACCTGGCCCAGGAAGACCTGATGCATCTATCCGCCAAGTACATGGGCCCATGCCGCGTTGAGGCCTCGCTACCCAAGACCAACTCACCCGACCAGCGCATCTCCGAAGCAGAGGCAAACGCCAAGACAGGAGTACCCGACTTCATCACTCACCAGTCGACAGCGCGACTACGATACTTACCAAGACTCCTGAATCATGCCCCATCAGTCCTACTCCAGCTCCTCGACGGCCAGCGCCAACGAAAGGGCGCCTGGGGCCGCCAGCTCAAGAAAGACTTCGACTTCCTACGCACGCACTTACCAAGAGAGAGGCGGCCCAGCCAATGCCCAGCATGACCGCGACATCATCAACTGGGCCCGACAGGAGCCGAAGCTATTCACCAACGCAGTCAAGGCAGCTTTGAAGGCCTACGTTCTCCACGTTCGCGACCAAGCTCAGGGCGCCAAGCTCCAGAAGGACATCCAGATGATCACCGCAGCTCGCCCAACTGAAGAGTTGGACCTCTGCGACGACACCAACAACCAGAAGTGCGTCTGCTACGCCTGCGGCCGAGTCGCCTCCAGGCAAGGCGTGTCAATCCATATGGGTAGGGATCATCCAGACTACGAAGACCCGCGCTTCTGGGCTACAGGCACCGCGTGCCGATGCTGCCAGACCGAGCACCACTCTCTCCCGAGGCTCATCAAGCACTTATCGGTGGCTCACCGTTGCCGCAAATCCTGGCATGCCTGGCGCGTCCAGACGATGGAGCCCCTGACGGAGCAGCAACTGGCAGAGACCTCACCGCCGTCGCTGAGGCCACGAACGCCAACAAGAAGCAAGGACGACGCCCAACCTTCAGCGACAAGCCAGCCCACCCGTGCGACGTTACGCCGCTGCCGCTCCTCGAGACGTCGCCCGTCGTACCTAAAGTATTCGCCAGACTTGAGTCATCGCCAAGCAGTCCACCCGCGAGCTCGCCTGCAGGACCAACCGAGCGCCAAGAGGTTGTCTTCATCACCGACCGCCCTCGACAGGCCGCCGACCTCCAGCATATCATGGCCAACAGCGGGATCACGAGCGTCAGCGGCTTGGACTCCATCCAGATCGCAATCCACAGCGATGGCCAGACCCCAGAACCAATGCCAGAACTTCGGCGAGTACAGAGTAGGATCCTACATGGCGAGGTAGCGGCCATCTACGTAGAGTTCCCACGACGAACCTGGTACCTACATGACGCAAGCGATGTTCTTGGCAGCAGAGCAAGCAAGCGGCGCACCCCCGAGGCGCCATGGGGGACGCCTCAAGTCTCCGAGACCATCGCCGACGAGATATTCGCCGCCAACAGCGTTACACGAGAGGTCTTGCGTATGCTCTACACGGCGACCACAACCAACGTCCCATTTGTCGCAGCCATCTCGGCGGAGTCGATCATCAGGCAGACTCCTGAATATCTGTGCATCGCCAACCTGGCGACTGTCTACGAGACCCCGACAAGTCACTACGACCTCAGCGCCACGCAGATCCTCGACCACGGCGCCCGCGACGAACCCCGCAACATAATGTCCACGGCAAACGCAGCGGAGATCGACTTCGCCATCGCCGACATGCTCGACGGCAACATAGTGGCCAGATGGGGCCTCAGAACCGCAACCGTTGCGCCCACCAGCCAGAACCGGAACGCCAACGACGCGTACTACATCGAACGAGAAGACGAAGTGCCTCTTCATGCCGAGGACGATCGCCACGATGGGTGCCATCGACGACAAGCTCAAAGGCGTCAGGGCGCAAATCCCGAGGAATCCCCGAGTGCGTGGGAACACCTCAGGCAGCGTCGCCAAGTTTGGCATGAGGCATTAGGACGCAAGTCCTGTGGAAGCCCCGAAAGCGCGGGAACACCCCAGGCACAGGTCGCCACGTTTCGTAGCATTGATGAAGGCAGCGGCCGCGCGAGCACGAGTTCAGCGGCTACCGGCAGGCCGCGTCGCACACGCCCTCCACTCTTGCCAAACCCCACCGACCAACCACAACCCACGACCCAAATGACGGCATACAGCACCACCCCACGAGTCAACGCTGCCCTGGTGAGGCAAGGATCAAACTTCGAGACGGGCTCGAAGGGCGGGGGGGGGGGGGGCAGGACGAGCACCGCCCGCGCCTGCCAGGGGGGATGGTGAAGGGCAGGGGGGTGGGGGGTGGGTAGGGCGGCCACTACCCGCGCCCCCGCGGCCCGCCCTAGCTCGCCACCCCCACCGTCCCCATGGCGAAGGTGGTGCTTGCCCGATCGCCCAAGGGGCGAAGCTGAAGGCAGCCGAGACATCCCTCATCGACAACAGCAGCAAGCACCAGGCCTGGGGTTCGCCCCCACCGAGGGCACCGTGACCCCTAGCCATAGCGGGACGAGGTGGGGCCGCCACGAACCCTACTTGAAGTCGGTACATGGAGGCCTTCCAAGTGCGCCCATAACCCATACCATAACCCCAGCAACAAACCGACCTCCCCACGACCTACCCAGAGACATTCAAGACGACCAACCACAACGTTTGGGACTAACCACCGACCGACCACCCACCCCGCAACCATCACCCAGCCAACAACCACCACCACCTCGACACAACCCGCCCGCTGAAATGAGGACAGGTGAAGGGTCCTCAGCAGCGTGGCGCGACGCAACCAAGACGGAGCCTGATGAAAGGAGGACAGGAGCAGGGTCCCCAACAGCGAGGCTCGACGAGTATGCCTGGGAGACGTCGAAAAAGGGCAGGGTCCTTTGAACCGACCTCTAGCAGGAACGCCCGCAGAAAGGAGGACAGGAGCATGGTCCTCAGTTGCGTGGCCGAACAAAGACCAACAACCCTAGCAACTCCACCCCGCCAGCTACGACCAACACCTCGACGTGACCAGCCGCTGAAAGGAGGACAGGAGCAGGGTCCTCAGCAGCGAGGCGTGTTGAACCTACCTCGACTTCAGCTGAAAGGAAGACAGGAGAAGGGTCTTCAACAGCTCTGAAGGCAGCGAACGTCTGGAGGCCGCCCATAAGGAGGACAGGAGCAGGGTCCTCAGAAGCGGTGTTCAGCAAGTACGCCATCAGAGAGGAGGACTCGCCAAGATAATGAGGCGGCGCACCGTGCGCCGCGGCGAGGCCGTCCCCAGCCCACGGGCCGAAGGGGGGCACGGCCCGCCCCCGTGTAACATACGGTGGCCGCCAGCTCAGCCG